TGAGATGGGGGTGAGGGATGGAAGGAAGAGAACAGAGGTTGTGAACATCTGTAAGTCAACAACCAAGCCATTCTAGATAGCCTGAATGAATGACATCATTAACCAGAGGTGCAAAGTCTGCAGGAAACAGAACTTCACCTACTGCTCCCCAAATGCCCCTCAATTTGCCTAATTAAGACACCTGCCTTCCAACTATGAGAACCTGGTTTGATCCCCAAAACGCATGGACAAAAAGACAAGCATGGTGATGTATACTTGCAAACCTAGTGCTGACCAGCCAGCCTAGCCTAATTGGTGAGCCCAAGATCACAGTGACAGACCTTGGGGTGTATGTGTGTTTGTCTCATAAGGACCAGCACTGAAGTTGTCCCCAGCATCCACATAAACGACTAGACACATTCTCTCTCTCATTCTCTCATTCTCTCTCTCTCTCTCTCTCTCTCTCTCTCTCTCTCTCTCTCTCTCTCTCTCTCTCTCTCTCTCTCTCAACTAAATGTTATTAAAGAATAAGCCACTACTTGGGGACATTTGTTACACTCTTTTAGGACACACAAGTGAGGTAAACATCTTCTTCCCAACTTTACTGGTTATAAAGTGGGTCCAGAAGAGCTCAGTAGCTCTTCTGGTGCCCAGATGTTCCTGCCATTGGGCTGGCTGCTCTTATCACAACACTAGGCTTTATTTGTTCCTAACATGCCAGGGCTCAGTTCTTAAATCAGACCCAGTGAAAAGAATTAATGACTCCTAGGTACCACTTAGTGGTGGCAGGACATCCATCATCAGATCAAGGACTTCAGCATCCCTCGCTTAGGAATCATGGTGAAGACTTACCACCTCCCCTAGCCATTTACTTGGCAGACAGTTTTATTATTGCCACAACCACTGAGACGTGGAGCTTCTTGCTAATTTTCCTTTGCTGCAAATGACTGAAAAATAATGGTGTCAGTTTTAATGAGGATCAAGCAAGGCTCCTAAAAGGACCTTGTAAATGAAGAGCAGTCTCCTCACACACAACCATGGCCCTCTGTTTGATTCCAGAACATGAGTATCACTTAAATTCCACACTTTCACACCACGGAGCATGCGGAGGTGGGGCCTTTCGGGCTTGCTGCATCCTAACACCTGAGCCACAGATGGACACCGGGCAGCAACACTCCACCACAAGCCAGACTTCCTGGTCAATGGAAACACTTTCTGGTTGTCTGTGTAATAAAGGGGGAACTGAGACCTGTTAACACACAGCAATGTACTGCATTTGGACTCCAGGGCCACCAGGAGCTCATTGCCTAAGCCTGAATCCTTTCTGTTTCCACTTGCCAAGATGTTCAGAACGGCTGCCAACCCTGTAAGTCTCTATGAGGTTCTTCGGCTGACTCAATTCTCATTTTATTAGTGCCTCTCGAAGCAAATGCTGGGGTTTTCAGCAATAAATAAATAAAGAATAAGAGAGAGGGAGAGTATTTCACACCTCCATCTTTACTGAGAATGCCTTATATTCCACTGACTTTTGGCTTCTATTTATAAAGAAGGTTCAAGGCTTAGAAAGAAATCACTGGGGTTGTGCTTTAATGGATATTCCCAACCAGCATTGTGTCATTATTGGCCCGGGTTGAGCTGGGCGATCTCCCAAACTTGTGACATAATCAGGCCTCTCTCTCCATTGCTCTGTACACTCCATGCTCCCTCCACATCACACCACTGAGTCATCCGCTCTTTTCAGCAAGACTGATTGCCAGGGGATTAACACGAGACAGCCCAATTCCATTATTCAGCAGCCCCATTCAAATCCCTGCCCTAAACTCTAAGAGAGACTTCAGAGCTTTCACCGGGATGAGCTGCCAGAGGGCTCAAAGGGGAGGTGGGGCGAGGGGCTTTTGAATGTTTAACACAACAACTCAAGCTAAAACCTGCTGTAAGCAAGACCCTGGGGCTACAGCAGCCCTGCCTTGACTCCTCAATTCTTGGAATGGCCCCAATCATGAATAATTTGTAGACCTGTGCTAGGCTAAAATCCCAAAGGACTCCTACAGAACAATTTTTTTCCCTCCATAATAAATTACTTAATTTTAAATTTAAGCATTCAGGACTTTTAGCTCCAAATCTAACTTTGTTTCCCTAATGCAAACACTCCTGTCAGATTCAGTCCACGAAGCCTGAAGTAAATCCCAAATCATGTGCTCTTTGATGAATGGATTTAGAGCCATTTGTGACAAAAGAAATCCTCTCACACGTCACTCTGCTGTGTGTGTGTATTTACTAAAATATCTGAGCCTCGCATACCACAAACGTCTCTATAAGAAACAGGACCAGAGCCAGGCCTGGTGATGCAGGTTGTAAGATGAGCTGCTCAGGATGCTGAGGCAGGGGATCAAGAAGCTGGCCTGCCCAGGGAACTTAACAAGATCTTGTCTTAATATATAATGTACATATTTTTTTTTAATGTCTAGAATGGTGGTGCACACCTTTAAACCCAACACTTGGGAAGCCCAGGCCAGCCTAGTCTACAAAGCAAGTTCTAGGACAGCCAAGGCTACACAGAGAAACCCTGTCACAAAAAAATCAAATCAAATCAAAACAAACAAAAAACCCCAGAAAATGTCTGGATTATAGTTCAACAATAGAGCCTAACACACAGCAGGCCCTGATTTCAGTCTTCAGTATTTAGGGATAGGGAAGTGGGAGACACAAGCCTGGCCTGGTGGAAAGCACCTATAATCTCCACACTAGGGAGGTAGAGACAAGAGAATTCAAGGTCTTCAACTACACAGCAAGTTCAAGTCTAGCCTGGACTACATGAGCCTCTATCTCAAAAAAACAGAAGCAAATAAAAATTAAGGCATAAAAGAAGGCTTTGACACTCTTTTATGGATAGTCATAGGGCAAATATCACACAATGGCCTATCACATTTTCACATTAAGCCCTCTGAATAACTCAAATACTCTTGTCACTCCAATGCTTACAGTCAAATGGAAGTTCAAGACTGTACAAATGATGCTGGGTAAGGCAGAGTCTTTGTGACTATAACCTCACTTAACTAGACAGAAAACCAATATGATTTTCTGTTTAACTATTAGTTAATTTAAATCTTCAATTAAACAAATCTATGCAATTTGGTAAATCCTATATTGAGGAATTTTTTTAGTGGTTCTTAGGCAATTGAAGAATTTGCGGAATCTCCCCTCAAATAGTTTATATTTTATAAAAGAGACAGAAAGACCCATAGATAAGATAATATCCAGGACCATGCCTAGGAAATATTGTAGGAGAGTCTTATTTACAGAGTAAGTAGGTAGACACATTTGTGGAGTTAACAAAGGCTGTGAGAAATCAAAATGGATCCCTGTGAGCCCTGAGATGAGGCCGCAGTCAACAGTCAGAACATGGAAGAGTAACCCAAAGAAGTGACTGAGGACAGGAAAGCAGCCAAGTGTCATCCTGCCTGACAAGTCAGAGCATAGACAGCTTCTATAGGGAAGAGAAATGAACCCACCATCCTCAAAACACAGAAAGTCCTAGTTGCAGACTCCTTTTGGTGGCCATGACAGCAAACACTTACTACCAACTTGACAGGACTTAGAGTTGCCTAGAAGACAAACCTTGGGGGCAAGTCTACACAGGAGTTTCCAAATTAAGCTAATAAAGGTGGGAAGAGCCACACTACAGGTGGGTACCCCATTAAGTGGACTGCACAAAAAGAGGAACAAGGTGTCTTGTTTCTGACTTCATGCCTTTCCCACCATGATAGACACAAACTGTGAGCCCAAATGAAAGCCTCCTTCTGTAAGTTGCTTTTATTGAGTATTTTGTTTAACAACAAGAAAAGTAACTAATGTAGCAACCAAGCCAATAACTTCATTAGTCACAACAAAAACTCATGATAACCAGTAAAACTTGAGAAGAATTGTTTCTTTTGGGAACTACAGGCTGCACAACCTTAAGACAGGCAATGAAAATGACCTCCTTATTTGTGACAGAGACATACTTGTGACTCTCATAGGTGGTTCTCTTTGCTCAGAGGAACATCTTCCAGGAATCAGCATAAAACTACCTAATGGCCATCTCTGACATTGACTTTTTTTTCTAGCCAGGCACAGGCTCAATCATTATACTAACTTTTTCTTTACTCTTCAGCAAAAGTGATAAGTTGCCCTTCTTTAAACAATGTTCTACGATTTTAAAAACAAAATTTTCCGGGGCAGGAAAGGCAGCTTAGCAGTTAAGAGTCCAGAGGACCTGGGATCCATCCTCAGCATCCACACTGGGTGGTACACAACTGTCTATAACTCTAGCTCCATGGGATCCAACACCCTCTTCTGGCCTCTACAGGTACCTGCAGTCACTTGCACATATCCACACACAGATATGCATAATTAAATGTTTCCTGCACACATTAAGATTATTCAGAGCAACCTTAGCTTCCAGAATGAGCTTATACCACAGCCCCCTGATAAAAGGTAGTGCTTAGTGATGGGTGATGCCATTCTGTAAATGCATTTCTCTTATTGGTTGATGAATAAAGCACTGTTGGCCAATAGAGAAGCAACATAGGTGGGTCTAGGAAATGAGGATGACTCTGGAAAGTATAGGCACAGGGAGACTCAATGTTGATCACAATAGAGTAGTAGGCCCAGACCTTTTCTATGGTAAGATTAGATTATGTGGAAATACTTATATTTATAGAAATAGGTTGGTAATAAAGACAGAGCTAGCCAATAAGAAGCCCCAGTCAATGGCCAACAGCTTTATAATTAATACAGTGCCTTGTGTGTTATTTAAGGGCTGAAGCGGTGGTGGGACCCAGATGGCTGGCGAGGAAGAGTATATGTAACAGCATAGGTACCAAGAAGATCCCCCTGAATTCCATAAAAATCTGGTTAACCAGGAAACAGAACACAGTCATATGACAGACGGAACCTTCTCAGATGACATCTTATGGGTATAAAAAGGAGTCAAGCCAGAATAGATTGGAGCTGAACCGCTGCCCAAAAGGCAAACTCACCAACAACATCAAGGTGGTATGTGTGATTGATGGACCCGTACTCATTCTCCACTAGGCAGGTGTAATTGCCTTTGTCCGATGGGACCACACTCTCCATGATAAGGCTCCAGTGCTGGTTTCGTACCTGAAAAGGCCAAAGGAAAGGTGGTTATTTATAACAAACTTAGCACCAGATATCCATAGCATACTTTCTTGACTTAAAATGAGGTTGGCTGGGGCTGAGAGTTTGTTTAGCTCAGTGGATACAAATGACCTGGGTTCAACCCCAAGAAATTAGTGGAAGCAGAGAATGTAGAAGAACTGTAAACTGCCCTCACAATTAATATTCAGAATGGTGATGAATAATAAGAAAGTTTCCCTAGAACAACCTAGCAGGCAGGTATTGGCAGAGTACACAAAGTTGTGACCCTGTCTTGGCTTTGAGGTTCCATTAGGAGAACCCACATGGCCAAGAGGTCCAATCACCAATCCATACAATGTCATACCTCACTGGCTACTAAGGCCAGCTTTCCAATGGGAGCCTTAAGTCCCTAGTACACCGTGGAATCACCAGGAGCCAACACTGGTTACCACCAGCTATATACCACACCTTCTGCCTTAGCTAATTTAATTCCCCCAGAAGCCCTTGGGTCCCATCTATTCTGTTCCTAGAACCCCTTGTTTCTTTTTCTGGGCCCCCAGATCTATGGAAATCTCAAGAAGTTTCACCTGGGACCAATGGTCTGCCCTTCCTCCTCCCTGCTGGGAGATGAATAAATGGCACATTTTCCTGGTATTCCCAGAATTCCAGACATGGGAGCAAGGACTCCAAGTTACATACCCATTTGTTTATAAGTGCCTTGAGACTTTCCAAAGATGAGAAGTGCATGTGACAGTCATGCTCGCGGCCTATCAGCTCACACTAGGTTCTAATGTTCTCATCTTGTGAGAACCTAGACTGGAGAGTAAGGAGGGCCACCTCATAGCCACGCCCTTCTAGGAATTGAGGGCAGGCTTGTCCCATGGTGTACCTGCGAACAGGGCTAAGAGTGTGCCAGTGACTGTAACTGCAGAGTGGGGCTGCTGCTGCTGAGCTCAAACCAAGACCATTATTCCCCACCAGGGTGCCATATGGTACCACTGGGGTGAGGAGCTGGATCCCTCTTAACAGCCCAAGCAAAGGGTTAGGAATGAGGCTGAGTAGTCACCTTGCTTAGATGCCACTGACCCCAACCCTTGCACAATCGTGGAGTTGCCTCAGAGTCCAGCACGGGAAGGTGGCAGAGGAAAACTGACTCGCAAGCAAGACAGGAGGGAGAGGGAGTGAATCTGAGGACTCTAGACTGGTAATGGAGACAGTCTGTGCTCTACTCATAACAATCACATTGGTCTCCTCGCAGGACCTGCAAGACAGCCTGAGAGGAAGCCAGATGGCTCCCTGACAGCTAAAAGTGCCCTGCCCCATGCAGAATGAGTGTGTTGATGGGAGAACCCATGCCAAATTCCACGGGCTCACGGGAACCGATCTAATTCCTGTCCCAGGGAGCTACCTGAAGCTGTCACTCTGTGAGATGGGTAGGAAGTGACCAGGGCTCTTGCAGAACTCAAGGCAGACCCTCCGCATCCCAGGATCTCGGGAATATCAGAAATGGCTCTCTCCTTGCCAGAAACATGGAGGGCAATTTAGGGATGCAGCCACAGGCTCCAGAGTCACCAAGCCTCATAATCCAGCCTTGAGCCCTGCTGTAAATATTCAGTTCTTTGAGCCCCCGCTCAAATGTCACGTCTGTAAGCCTTTAATCATGGCAGCGCCTCACTCTGGACCCCATCCAAACTGTCAATGTCTTTCTTGTGTCTGGATTCAGACTCTGGCACATGGCGTATTCCAAATGGATTTGCCCCTGAACTGCTAAGGGAGGTAACGTTAGCTGCCCGAGACAACAGATCTTGGCTTGGAGCAGCACAGCCGAGCAGTTGCCTTTTTGGACACCCACCCCCCCACCTCCCTTACGGAGCACATGGTCAGTTAGATGTTTCCTTGGGTCTATGGCATTCTAAGAAAGAGCCCTGAATATTAACATCTTGGAGACACACTACAAATACCAGTAAGTTAACATGGATAAAATGATATTACAATAAGAAGCACATATACCAAAGTAGGTATCTCCTCTCTTTTAGAGCCTTGTTACTCAAATCAACACTCCACCACATGTAGTGCTGTTCATGTTTTCTTTCCAACACCACTGCTCCCACTTGAATTACTCGACACACCATCAAACCCAAATTTTAAAGCTGTGGCATTTTTCAAACTGATGCTCTCAGCAACTGCCAACAGTGGAGCTCAGATACTTCTATAGTAGAGGAGAGCCTACCGTTAATTAGTGACTGCTTAACAGCAAGCCAAACAATAATAGCAACTCTGTAAGAAATGGGAACCAGCAGGGCAGTGATGGTGCATGCCTTTAATCCCAGCACTTGGGATGCAGAGGCAGGCAGGCCTATGTGAGTTCAAGGCCAGCCTGGTCTATAGGGCTAGTTCCAGGACACGTAAGGTTTTTATACAGAGAACCCTGTCTTGAACAACAAGACAAAACAAAAACAAAAACAAAAAAACAAAAAAAGAAAGAAAGAAAAGAAAAGAAATAGGAACCACAGGCATCAAGTTTAGAAATGTATTAAATCAGTATGTGCACACCAAGCTTCTATGTGACCTGAAGAGCGTACCCTTGCAGCAAGCATTGTGTGATCTGAAGAGGGTACCCTTGCAGCAAGCATGCAAACGGCACCTTGCCCTTCAGCGTGTTCTTCTTAGTGTCTCAGATCTGCAGGGCCACAATTATTTTGTCATCTAGGTCAAATGTATGTACATTGTTTTTGCTTTCAGAGAACAAGGACTGTAATCCCCCTCCCCCCACCCCCCCAAAAAATCTGAAAAGCTGCTCAGCCTCATTAGCAATCAGGGGAATGCAAATGAAAACAATAATGAGATACTTATTCACCAGATGATTAACAAAAATTAGGAAGATCAGTGTCACTTTAGAACTTGGTGAGTGAATATAAGGAAATACAGACACAACTGGAGAATCGTGAAATAAAGCCGGAGAAACCAGTCCAAGGAATAATTTGGTGGCACCCATTAAAATTAATGACATTTTTTTTTTGTTGTTGTTAATGCTATGTCTGGGTATCTTGTCCACAGAAAATAATCAGTCTAGCCAATCAGCAAATTCAAGGTTCAGTGAGAGCCTTGTCTCACAAAGATAGTGATTGAGGAAGACACTTGATGGCAACCTCCACTCCCCAAACACGTGTGCCCACACAGGAACACACAGATACAGGAACTAAAAGAGAAGGGTTCCTCAGCCATCCAATGGGTCCTAGATCCTGCTCTGGGGAATGTCCTCATCTGGATCTCTCCAGCTGACCAAGAACAAAAGGCCATGGACAGGAGGGATCCTGCATGGAGTAACATTCCTGTAACTTTATTTGCATTCCTGCCCATAGCCAAATGTGTGTGGAATTCATCGTTATTTTCCAGCTGCCAAATAACAGAATTGGCGAGCAGAGCTCCAAAACTATGTTCACCAAGGTCTTTCTTGAAATAACATTTCAGTATTGAAACAAAGCAGACCATAGCTAAGCCCCTGAGCTCTTTAGCTTGGAACACAAAAAGCAGATTCCACAACTGTTCCACACCCCACCCATAAGAAGACAGAAGGTGGTCCAGACAGTTGGAGTATTTTGTTTTGTTTTGCATCCCCCGCCCCACCCCCACCCCCAGACTCTTTCTGCTACTCCAAACCTCTCTAAGTGCCTGTTAAGGCCTCAGCTACATTCAGGTGACAACAGGGAATGAAGATTTAACATCAATACAGAACCAAACGTATCACCAGAGAGTCAAAGGCCAAAGGCCCCAACTGTCACCTGGATGTTTGTCTTCCTCATTTCGAAACAAGAAAATATTCAAAGATTTCCAAATACCCAGGTGTTCACTACCAAGTAGAATAAACACCCAGAAGCTGTACCCTGAGCCAGCTTGAAGGAGGTGTCCATGTGACAACAGATGCCTCTGTGACTTCCCAGAGAACAGCTATCGCTGTAGTCTGGGCTTCAGAAAGGTGGCCTATGAATACACCCACTGTTGTTAAGATATGGGGCTTATTTCCAGAAGGCTCCTAGAGATGTCAAACCATGCCTTCTGAATGTAATTGTGCATGGGGCTCACACGTGTGGAGGGACTGGCACTTGGGTTTGCTTATCATCACCCAGAAATGAAGGCAAACACTTGTTAATGCTTAAACCGGCATCGATGGGTAGCAGTTTGCTTTGCAGGGGGTGGGGGTGTTCAGAGAGCAGGGCTGCACCATCAGACCCTGTCCCACAACCAGTGGAAACAGAATCTCTTCACTCTGCCCCATCAACAACCCCTGAATCTCCACAAAGGCTGTGTGATTTATTCTGCAAAATGCAAGGGTGTCCACTCAACAGCCTATTACTTGAAGGCGCTAACAAAATGGGTGGCAGCAGGGCACCCAACACCTTTTGCACTCACCTCTTCAACAATACTAACCTTCAAAACCTACACAAAGAATTGTCATGTGATCCAGCAATTCCTCTAAGTAACACCCCAAAAATTGAAAGCAAGGACTCAGACACATGCACATAAATTATAACAAAAGGGGTAGGGACATCCATTTGATGAAATATTAATCATCCATCAACATGAATTAAGTTTTGACTCATACTATAACATTGGTGAATCTTGGGTACATTATATTAAGTGAAATAAGCTGGGCATAAAGGGCAAACATCCTGTGATTCCATTTACATGAGGTACTAAGAATAGGCACATTCATAGACCAAAAAAAAAAAAAAAAAAAAAAAAAAAGACTTGAGGATCTCAAATGCTGGAGGAGGAGCTGTTTCTTAATGGGTGCAGGCATTTTATTTGGAGAAACAAGGAAATTTTAGAGGTAATAAAACTGGATAAACAATATAGTATTATAGGACAATTTTTGGTGTTTTTTTTTTTTTTTAAGCCTCATAACCCAGAGAAGTGACAGAGTTAGAAGAACAAACACACACACACACACACACACACACACACACACACACACACACACACACACAGGGAGAGGAAGAGAGAGACAGGGAGACAAAGAGAACCATGCTTATGGTCAAGCTTTACTTGGCCGCTGTCACCCTCATCTCTCTGCACATATTAAAGAATATAAATGCACACGATGGGCACATTCCTGTTATTTAGCACTAAGGAGATAGAGGCAGGAGGATTGAGTTCAAGGACAGTCTGGGCTATAAAGTAAGTTGGGGATCAGTCTTAGCTACCCAGTATGTCTCTAATTAAACGGCAAGACTAAGTGCAGAATGCCAAATATTTCAACACTAAAAACAGTCTGGGTCCTTTTAGGGGTGGGGGTTGTTTTTGTTTTGTTTTGTTTTGTTTTTTTTCCTTTGAGTCAGGGTTTCTCTGTGTAGTCTTAGTTGTCCTCGGCTGTCCTGGAACTTATTCTGTGTATCAGTCTGGCCTTGAACTCACAGAGATCTGCCTGCCTCCCCCTTTTAAAAATACTTAATTATTTTTATTTTAATAATATGTATTATGTGGGAAAGATATGTGCATGTGAGTGCTGGTGTCCTCAGAGGCCAGAGACACACCAGATCTTTGGGTGCTAGGAACTGAACCCAGACCTTCTGCAAGAACAATACATGCTCTTAGCCATGGAGCCATCCCTCCATCCTGAGTTTTGATCCCATTTTTAAATTCTCTGATTTCAAGGATTTTGTGTTTTCCCTTCTCCCTAAAATGGCCCATGCACAAGTCCTCCCAAAGCATGCTGGGGTGTGGTGGCCAAGGGCCACAGAGCCATAAACCAGTAAATAAGAAAAGCTTGCAAAACTGGCCTGGCCATCAAAGTCGAGATGGGCTGCAGAATGACCGGGTTATGAAGAAACAAGAAAAGTTGCACAAATAACCAATTTTCCTTTACGGAAACTTCCAGGTCTCTGGCTTTCTGGAAAAACATACTGTGGAAAACTTGACACCTTGCTTCATTAAAAGGCAAACAGGCAAGAACCAGAGGAGTCGGGGGTTGGGACTTGGCAGGTCCTCTCTGTGGGGTTTGAGTTAGGTAGGTCTCTTCAGTTAAGTATCTCTTGTGTGATGACATGGCTCAATGGGTAAAGGCAATTGCCTCCAAGACTGACGGTGATTCCCTAGGACCATCTGGTGGAAGAGGAGAACCAATGCCCTCCCACAGAGTGTCCTCCCCAGTTCTAAGGGATGCGAAGCTACAGACTGTTCCACACAGCACCTCTGGTCAAATGTTGGCAAGTGCATTTGTTTAGAAGTTCACATAGCAATGAAGAAAATATCAAAAAGGAAACCTCTACACTGGGACCAAGATTCCCAACACTGTGCCATGAAGGCCCAGGTGAAGAATATAGTAGACAGGTGTCAGGCAGGTGTCCCCCAGGAAGGAGGATCCAGCCCCAGGAGAAGGTGTTGGTTGAAGGACCTCCCATGATTTATGACCCAGGAAGATGGGGGCAGGTTTAACACATCTTCAACAAAGAATTATGCTTTAGGGAATCATGTTTGTCCCAGAAGCCATAGGGCTCCACAGAATTTCTAAATTTCCAGTTTCACCATAATGAATGTCACACTGGTGTCAACCTTAATTGCCCTGTTGTGAAAAATCTCTATTGCACCATCATTTACATTGGACAGATCACCTCAGGGGCCACCAAGCTACAACCTCCTGCATGCACCAGAGAGAGATCAGGAGAGCAACCGGGTCAGGACCACACATTCCAAAGGCCAGCTTTGCCTTCGGCCTTTTTACCCCTTTCCTTTACCTTTTAGGGGGTAGACATGCGTAAGTATAAGTTTGTGTGCAAATGTGTACCGATGCCAGAGGTCAAATTTGGGTATCCCCCTCCCCTCCTTATTTTTATGACAAAGATATCTCTCCAAACTTAGGGATCACTGATTTGACAAGACTAGCTAGCCAGTGAACTCCAGCCCTGGATCACAGTCACACACTAGCATATCTGGCTTTTTTCATGGGTATTGAACTCGGATCCTCATGTTTGCATAGCAAACGCTCTACCAGCTGAGCCATCTCCCCAGCCCTCAAAAACAAACAAACAAAAAACAAAAAAAAACCCACCCTTTTTCCTAAACATCAAAATGTCCTTTAGACATTTACAGTTTTCAAATTCCTTTTTCCTTGCCTCCAGTAACAGCTCAAGCACTAATTAACAAAAACCCTCTAGGTGGGGTGGGAGGGTTAGAGAAACAGCCTGGTGTTTAAGAGCATTTGCTGCTCTTACAGAGGATTCACCACCCACATGGCTGTTCACACTGCAATTCCAGTTCCAGGGATCTGATGCCTTCTTCAGACCTCTGAGGGCACCAGGCAGGCATGCACAAATATACAAGTATGCAATATTCATACACATAAAACAAATTAGATAAATCTTAAATAAACAAATGGCCTGGGCATGTATCCTCACAGGCTACAGCCATTCTTCGGGGTCCTCCTGGGTGTTCTTATTTAGCACAACGCTGTCATGGGTAATTAAAACTTCCTGCACCTGTTAAAAATCAAGGGCATTCCCTCATTAAGCCCCTGTGTCTAACAGCTCCGTAATGGTAATCACTCGTTCACATTTGCAAAATGTTCCTTATCCATAATAATGATGTACAGCCCATTTATTTTAAAACCAAGAGTCTCTGGAGACTCACAGACTCGCTTTGTACCTGCCTAGAAGTTGTCTTCCTGGGTAGAATTCGGATTCTGACCACCATTCTCACAGTAAAACGGTGAAGTATTGACTATAAAGTCATAAGCTGGAGCAACTTGTTAACACAGCAACTGATTAACTAATACACCCTTGCCTCTTCCAAATGCACAGCAGACTTTCATCATAAGGTGTAATGACATCTCCCATCAATAAGGTTTCCTTAAATCCTCTTCACGTGCAAATTCCATCTCTCCCTTTTTGGGGGAAAAAAAATCCTCAAACCTTTCTCTGTTCCTCTTTTTTGTTTGTTTGCTTTTTGGTAGTTGTTGTATGTAGACCTGGCTATCCTGGAACTCACTATGTAGACCAACCTAGCTTTGAACTCAAAGAGATCTGCCTGCCTCTGCCTCCTGTGTCCTCTGATTAAAGGCGTGTGCACCACCTCTGGCTTCCCTGGCTCTCCTTTATCTCTATCCCATCACTGTGCTAATAAATACATTTCTTTGCCTTTTCTGCCATGGTGCTAATACCACATTTCCTTTTATGCCCACCAGATGCAGCACGCACTTGTGTCTTCATAGCCTCCAAACACCAGCTCTTAGGTTGACCTCCCTGCCAAACCAGGACACCTCTTTCTTGAAGCTATGCCCATCCCTGTTTGCTTTAGCTTCCCCAGTGCCTAGGTAGTGTCCTATATAAGGATACTCCGTCAATGAAGGTGAATGGATAAATAAAACCATAAGGAGTATCCCCAGGAATGTTCAATCAATGTTGACAGATGGGTGAGCAAAACTATACTTAGCAACCCAAGGAGCCTTCTCAGGGATGTCACAGTGTCCCAACTCCCCAGTGAGTGATGAGACTAAATTTTTAGGCCATTCTCTGATGGGCCCTTGACCATTTCTGGTGATGAAGGATGGGGTGGGGGGGCCCTGCCTCTGTCATTGTCCAGCATCTCTCCTGCTAAGGAATACTAGTTCATACTCCCTCCTCTAATCCAAGCTATTCACTCTTCATAGAACCCCGCCCTCACAGGGCAGCTGCACCAGTTCGTTTTACAGACCATAAAGCATATAGAAAACAGACCCTCAACTTTCGACCCCCTGGTTATTAAACTTTTCTCATGTAAAGAAGAATGCAAATGGGGACTAACTTTAAAATTACAGGGGTGTCCAGGTCCTGCCAACCTCAGAGGACTTTAAAAAAAATAAATAAATAAACAATTCAGAAATATGGGGCTTTAGATAAAAGCTCAGTCCTACCTTATAGCCTCCAATGCGATGCTCCTGCTTAAACTCCTTCCCGTTTTTTAGCCACCTCATTGTGGGCGTTGGATTCCCCCCAGCTGGACAGCGGAACTTCACAGTGTTGGCGGCAGGGACGGCATGCAGCCGCTTCTCCATCTTTTCTGTGTTGGTCCAGTATGGTGCTCCTGAACGGGAAGACAATGAAATGCACATAGATGAAGGAACAGCCTCATCAACGCCAGAAAGGTAAGACTGCTTCATTGTAGGAAAGGATCTGATTTTCTTTTGACTCTTTGAATAATATTTATGTTAGGAAAATATTTTCAGAAGTCTGGTCCAGCTGGCTTCGCAGAAGGTCCCCAGAGGAGCTGCTTATTGGGTTATGACTATTAACAAGGAAAAACAGCATTCGAAGCACCTTCTCTCTTGCTCCTGTCTGGTGCCAAAAAATAATTTCATGTCAAAGCATGCTTTTAAATGCTACTCTATATTCACAGAAACAGCCCTTATAATAGCAAGGGCCCAGTCTTCCAAAAGCACATCATTTTAGATCACCACGCCTATTAAATGGTCATATATACACTCTATGAAAATAAGCTGTCCTTAGGGACATAAACTTACCTATCAGAAATTTCTTTCTGTGTGGGTATGGGTAGAGGGGTGTTCATGTGAGTACGGGTGCATGTGCACGTGTGTGAGGCCAGAGGTCAATTTCAGGTAACATTCCTCCAGAGCCAAGGTCTCTCAGTGGTCTGGAATTTACCCAGTAAGTTAAGCTGGCCCACATGAGCCCCCAGGAATCTGAATGTCTCCATTTCCCCAGCACTGGGATTATACATGTGTGCCATCATGCCAGGCTTTTTCTAACATGGGTTCTGGGGATCCAACCCAGGCCAATCCTACTTACTGCACAGGTTCATTACCTACTGACCTAATACTCTAGCCAGCCCAAAGCAGACTTGTAAATGGCAATCAATAGCATAAGTTATCACCTTAGCATGATAATGAAAGAGATCTTTTCTCTTTCCAGTGGTGGTTATGAATACTATAACCCCAATGCCACACCTAAGCTTTGTAGGAGGCAACTAATCAAATGCTAAATAAAATCATGGCTCCTAAATGGCCCTCACAGTCACTGGTACAGTGATTTTTCCTTTTCCTTCTTTTTTTTTTTAGCTCAGAAAAAGAGGCAGCTGTTCAATGACCAAGTAACAAAGTAAATTTTATAAACAGGTGCCACATCATTAATCCAGAATGCTGCTATCGATTCTTCATGCCTGTACTAATGGCTATAGTGACCCAATGTTAATTTGCCAAGCATTGTTCCAAGAGCTTGCACAAGCTTAATGTGTAGCCCTCCCAACAACTCAGTGAAGAGCTATTATCATCCTTGTTGCAGGTCAAGGAAATTGAGGTACTGAGACCTTACTTGTAAATAGCCACAGCACTAAAAGTTATGCAACTGAGATTTCACCAAGATCGTCCTGATGACCAAGCCCCGGTTCTTTGCCCCAGTCTCCTTGCTAAAGAGACCAGCTCCACCAAGATGTCAATCATACCTTCTAGACACTGAAAACTAGACTCTGAAACAGTCAGTTGGGGCAAACACTTCAACCTTCAGTATTATCCAGAACTTCCACTGAAATGTTGGGCAACAGGTATACTTTCCACGCAGTGAGAGGCAGCAGGAGGCAAAATGGTCACAGCCAGGGAACTTATTTGTCAGTCTCCCCTCTAGCATATGCTGGGAGAGGTTCAACCTGAACATTCAGGCTCTCTTGTTACAGTTCCTCTCAGAAGTAACTGGCCCTGCCCCTGCCCCTGGCTACCTTGCCCTTGCTTTTGGCACCTGCTATGAGAGGCAGAACTGAGATGTCTTAATGAAGGGTGCACTGTGTCTTCTTCATGTTAATGCATTCCAAGGGTCAAGGTAGTTGGATTTGGGTGGCAACCTCATGACACCAAGACTGTGCAAAACCACAGCTGCTCACCCATTTGGAGCAGAGGGGGGAAAGGTAGAGAGGAGAGGCAGATGGAGGGGAGAGGGAGGGATAGGAGCGGAGGGGAGGCCAAGTGAGAAGAGGCTGCCCTATTTCTATTCACTCCAGTTGCATTTGTGATATGCATCTTGGAGACCTTGCAGCTTGGGTATATGGATGCTTGTAAACACATCTATTCTCCTGGGAGCTCACCAAGGGACCACTGGACTCCTACTTACTTATCACAAGACCCCAAGGACCTGGCATACCCTGGAACAATCTCAATCATCTTTCATTTTAAAAGCTTCTACTTAGAAAAATCCACCCAAGGCCACTGAAAGCAGTCATTGAGATCCCAAAATAAATAATGAGCTTTGTCTCTACACAAAGACTTTAACAAATCTGACCTAAATGGAAAGCATACCTCATGCTGTCAGGTGTCTGGACTCATGTCATCTGTTTAAGTAAACACAATGGCCTATTCACATGAATTAGCTAAATATTAATGCAGTCACTCTTTCAGATAGCATCAATTACTGCTGGGCTGAGCTCTGGAATGTCCTTTTTTAAAAAAAATTACATAAAAGAAATCAACAAATAGGTGCTTACAAACCATTAGGCATGATTTTCACGTTCTCTGACATCAAAAAGAAGGGTTGGTCACAGGAATTCAGAATGTTCTTTTCTACTCTAAGCTATCAATGAGGCTGCACCACCACAGGGGACTGCCCCCCAGCCATGTGCAATGTGCTGTCCTGTCTTGCACCAGCAGCGCACTGGCAACCCAAGAACCCAAGCCTTTTTCCTGGTAGCCAAGGCATGACTTAAGGAATAGGCTTTAAAAAAAAGAAAAAAAAAAAAAAAAAAAAGCTTGGGTTTCTTGCAAGTAGCTGCTTCCCTAGAGTAAAACTGTATCTAGAAAAATCTGCTCTCACAAAACAGACTCTAGCCACATACCACAGTGTGGGCATTGCTTCTTACCTCAGTCTCAGAGACCCAAGGTGGGAACTATGAAATGCAATCACTACGAGGCTGTAGCTGGAACTGAATTTCACAACAGTCCTCTGGAAGCTGAAAGGTCACCGAGCTAACTCGTTCAAGGTACCAGTGTGCCAGAGAAGGGCTGTCCCAGTGCTCTGCTGGGCTCCTGATTTTCTGGTCACTGCCACTCTACTCAGCACTACCTTGGTGCAACAGCCTTTGCAACTGAGCCTCCCCTTAGGATGACAAGTGTGCATATTGCTAAAAAAATAAGCATGACACCTGCAGAAGAGATAAAACTGTTCTATTGTTAATAGTGACACATTTTTAATTGCATGGCTCTTCCTGATGTAAACGTAAAGGATCTACATAATCTGGAAAAATAACGCTCCTATCCCATACAACCATCCTACCATGCTTCCTTCCCTAGCAGCCTCCTGCCCTTTGAGACAGTCTTGTTATATAGCCCAGGCTGGCATCAAACTCAAGATCCTGGCCTCATCTTCCCTAGTGCTGGAATCACAGGTCCAACACTCTGGACTCTGCAGTCTCCTCAGTATTCCTTGCCTGCCATTTCCACAAGGTAGCCACCTACAAACGTCCAAGCACCCAATAAGTAGAGTATTCGTCCAGAGAGACAAAGGCCAGGCATCTTAGAGAAGCCAAGCCAGCCTCTTCCCTACCAAAGCTTGGGAGCATTTCAACAACCCCGCGTGGAGCAGGAACTGCTACATGGAGTAAAAGCCTGCAGACACAGAAACCATCCTGGTACCTAGTAGATGGCCCACACACTGGCTAAGCAGCAACCTTACTGGAAATGAATTGGCAAGCCAAGAGCGCACGATGCTGTCTGAAATCAGGATGGTGAGCAGCTGCTTTCTATGCCTCCCTTGGGGATGTGCAGCACACACCCAAAGTCACCTGATTTATAAGAGGAGATTGTGGGACAGACCTCGAAAGGCAGAAAAAGTAAAAGCACACCAAGTCATTCGTGAAGCAAACCTGACATTCACAGATCTCCTCACGGTAAACACAGCAAAAGAAAAATGTCCAATTGGTCACAAAATACCAGCAATAAGCAAATCAAAAGAGATGTAGCATAACAAATACGTAAAATCCAATCAGAAAGATGCAGTCAACCCTCTAAGAACCGCCCTCCTTGATACCAGCACTGATCACCCCTGGACGATCCTGTTAAGTACATTTTCACTCTGCTAAAATGCATCTGAATGATGAGGAGGGGCCCTAACTCCACTCACAGTCCTCACAAGTACCCCACAGCTATCGTTAACCATCCTGTCCCACCATGGCAGTCCACACTTTTTCCTCTGTAAGGGCTTCGAGAACAAAACAGGCTACAGCAGACCGTGTGGAAGGATGGATGATGGGGCTAAATTTACTATAAACCAGGGAAGCTGTCCTGATAAGGTTCTAATATTCTTCCCAGGCATCCCTGTGCTACACAGGTATTGATTTTGTCAACAAATGGTAGCACTACAGGGGTTTTTGACCCTGCAATTTAAACTTAATGATAAAACGTAGGCTGCTGGGCCTGCCCCATAAAAACCCTTACACGGCCAAGTATTGACATCTAAGGTTTACAAGCTGTTCCCTGTCCAGAAGCAAAAAGCAAGCACAGCCCAATATTTTAAAGCAAAAACAGAGACTCATATTACAATGTTCCTCCATCTGGCTTAATGGCTGACAGGATCAATGTCACCCAGAAAGGTTAAGTGATTTGATCAAGGTCACAAAGCCAGAGGCTGGGCCAAGGCTAGCCCTGAGTCTCCAGCTCCCTTAGCAATGCTCTCCAAACACAGCGGGCTGCCCTGTGAACTCTCCCACAGTAATTAAGTCAAAAGTTCACGATTTATGTGAGCCCAGGACGCTGACGACTGCCAACTTTATTTTTATTGATGCAGAAATTTTAAAATGCACAGGCTGTTTCAGCTCTTAGATCAAGTCTTCCCAACTCCCTAAAGCCTCACTAAGGCCCCTGCCTTAAGTCTATAATTAGGGCTTTTAAAAATATCACTAATCAGGACATCTGAATGCTATGCCGCTAATGTGTTTGGTTTTCAGTTTTGTTTTGTTTTGTGTTTTAATGTTGCTATTCTTGCAATAGACAGTCATTTATCCACTTTTGGTTTGATATAAACTAAGAGAAACCCAATCTAGCAGAGTAAGAGATGGCCTGGAGTGGGTGGGTGGAGGTAACTTAGAAA